GAGAGAATAAAATTAAGAAAGCACTAGGGTTCCACCATCACCTAGCAATCCTATGAATTTTTACCAATTACTTATAATATACACATGCCACTTTGAAGGTTAGATTTTCCTAATTCATATTCTACTTGGAACCTCCAACATAGAACGTAAATCTAACATGCAACCCGTCCGGGCGTTCGGATCAAATCTAAACATGAAAGACTCATTATGCTTTATGAAAATCCTTTGAAAAACCATGCAATCCTTAAGACGTGATATTCATCCTCAGAGAAATTACAATTATTAATCACAAGAAGCCAGCGTCAATTTCAGGGAACCTTCCGACCAAAATTGCATCAAATTACTTTTCTAAAGATCCTAATGGTGATCAGGCATTACGACAATTAGATAGTTTTTATCCCGGTGATTAACAATTCAAAGTATGCATGCAATCGATCATAAGCAATTAAATAAAAATCACATATTCATGCTAAGGCTCAAGGCTTCGCCCTAGCAAAAGAAATTAGTTCCGCATATTCATAATTGAAATCATAGAAAATATATTCAAGAAAAGGATTGAAAGCACCTTCAAGTAAAAAGTCTTCAAAACCCTAACAATTCTCTGTCTCCAAAATTGCATAAAAGAAAGCGTCCCTAAAAACTGTAGACGGCCAAGCAATATATTTGCTAAGCCTCCACACAAACCCTAGCAAACTAAAATTAATAAAAACCCTAAATAAAAATAGCAAAATTCGTCCAAAATCTGAACAGCCACGTTTTTGACCCATAAGCTGATCTAAAACTGGCCCAATATAGCTGGATTTAATGTTTGGAATATTCTGAACACTTTTCCAGAAGGCCATGAACCCATCCGAGGTCATCTTGGGCTCCAAAAACGCAATTTAAGCCCAAAAACGTCATTTTCCAGCACTGCGCACTGCTTCTTTATTTCATCGCCAGAAAATAACCGCTAGGTGGAAAAATCCCAAATTTTGATACAATCAAGCTAAGTGACTCACGAACGTCCTCCAACTGGAATTACTCCAAAATTCGTCCATTTGATCTTGTTTTTCTCCAGAGGAAGTCGAAAGTCCTATATTAAAAATACAATTCAAAGTATCAAAATTCTTCCAATATATTAACCAAAATATACTAAGATTAGGGTAAAATATATAATATAAAATCTACTCATCAAATACCCCCAAACTTAGCTTTTTGCTTGTCCTCAAGCAAAATAAGACTCAAACAAAAATAAAAACTTAACAAACTAGACAACTAGCTAAAATTAACTAACAAAAATTTTCACCTTCAAAGTTGCAATCCATAGCAAATTTTAAAAACTAGAACATTTTTTCAAAAGTTCCAACCAATCCCACCACAGAGTCTAAGCCATTTAGAATCAATTAGAAAATAATTCACAAACTTCCTTTGGTGTAAAGTGAACCAACATAATTAAGGAGACTCGACTAAAACCCTTACCTCTCGTCCTTATTTATTTCACACATAGTAACTTTAAATATAACTCTCTTTCTTTTTTTTTTTTTTTTTTTTTTTTCTTTTTTTTTTAGTAACAGTAGTGGTCGTGCAATGTCGGTTTACTTAAGCTTTCGATTCAACCCATGTAGCGAGCTTTAGGTCAATGACTCCCAAACCACTAGGGCTTTAGGGCACTAGGTGTAGAACACCCCTAAGGACTTATTAACCCGAGCTGAAAAGGCTACGAAACCAACTAACCACCCTGCCCCATGCCAAAACTCTACCGTTTGACGCGAGAATCACTGCTGATTAGGCAGGACTGGCCCGGTTACTAGGCAAAACCTCGGGTGAGACAATTATTACTTTATTCACAATAATAACTAACTTTACTTAAAACAAAAATTAAAAATAAACTTAGACTGAAAGTAAGTGTTTCAATCTCACTCCCCACAAACCATGTTGGTGTGATGTGCAAAGTTCAAAGTATAATTCATGAATTAGTGTCTAAGCAACGATAAATAGAAAAGACTCTACTGTGGGATTAACCTTCACCATGTCCATTTGTTCTAACGTTAAAAATAATCTATGGATATTAACTTAACAAGAATGAAAATTTTTAAACTGAAACAATAATAAATAAAAAAAAACTAAAATTTACTATCCCACCCCCAAACTTATTTCACACTTTGTCCTCAAGGTGTGGAAACAAAAAGAAAACACAAAAAATAAAAAAATAAAAACACAACACAAAAACTGTGACACTAAAAAAAACAAATAAAAAATAATAATGGACAAGACTATAAAAAGAAAATAAAATGAGAAAATATATAAATATATATATATATAATTATATAAAATAAAAAGAAAATGAAAGAAACTATAAAATAACATGTAAAGAAAGGAAGGCATAACACCTGGCTTTTGATTTGGAAGGTCAACTCGCAAACAAAAGTCCAATAGGAACATTGGATTCCTTTGTTTGAAAAGCATGCAGCTGGCATGCTAAACTATGGATTCCTTTGCTTTGAAAGGCATGCAGCTGGCATGCAAATTGAAAATGGCGTCAGGCATCAGTCTTCTATCTCCGTCAGTCATCAAACACAGAGCCCAAACGGCTCTCTCTCCTCTCTTCAAACCGTGTCCTAGGGAGCATAAAAGCTGAGGATGCACCCACGTGTCATGCATTAGGAAGGATAGCTCCATAGGATTCCAAATCAAGGGTTAAGATCAACCCATGTGCCCATCTAGCTCTCTCTAGAAATTCTGAAAATACTTTTAATCCTTCTCAGTTTGGCACCCCTCTTCGTACAAACCTTCCATTTTTTTTTGTATTTTTCAGCCCTCTCTCGTTTCTTCATTGCTCTCAGAAACGCAAGAGCTTTCTATCTCTTTAGAAATTTAGCCATCCCTCTCTGTTTCACTCAGACCCCATATCTCTTTAAAATGAAAAATTAGCTCTCCTTCTCTCTCATTTTTCTCAATCCTCGCAGCCTCTCATCATGTCTATCTCAAAAACCAAACGCATACCCCAGAGCCGCACTATACCCCCAAACTTAATCTCTGAACCAGGACCATCCAAGCGCATCTTCCACTCTTCTACGATATCCTCATTCATCATCTAGCTGCCTTCGAACCTCATAAATCGAGCACCCTCAAACAGTAATATCAACAGTTACAAAGATGACACCGCAGATCACATCCCTCTCTGATTCCGACACATTCATGGGTAATTTTTATCCACATCTCCCTTCGATTTTTTTTTTTTATATGCTTAGATTTGGGGGAAAAAAATGGATGAAAATTATTGATAGAAGCATATTTATGCACCTTAGTTTAGCTTGTTCTTGTGCATTTATAGTGTTTTTCCTTAGTAAAGTAGTATTTTAAGCTAGTTTTATGCGTTTTCAAGTTTTAAGGGCAAAGTATGCAAAGGGAAGCATTTTGGAGCCTTTTGGAGCAAATTAGAGCTTGGAATGGACATCATATGCTTGGAGCTAAGAGGATGGATGAAATTGAAGATTTGAAGATGATGTTTCCTACTTGAACACGGTTTCCTAGTCGAAGTAGGAAAGTTAAATCCAAATGGCATCAAGTTTCAGCAACAAAGAAGTTTTCCAAGTCCAAGAAGGAAAGGTTTCCAAGATGAAGAGGGAGAAGAATTCCAAGTCAAGGGAGGATTGAGACATGTTTTCCTAATGCTAGAAGGACTCCTAATTGTTGTAGGACACAAATGAGAAGTTTCTAGACTGTTCCCCTCCTTGCCGTGAGTTTCCTACATTTCCTATCAGTTTTGGGGCTTTCTAGAAGCCCTATCCCTAATCCCTACAAACACTACTACATCCTTCCATAACCATTCATCCATACACCTAAGGCCCTAAACCTGTCCCTAGACCCTTTGCCGCACCAAGGAGGAGGAGAAGGAAGATTGGAAGTTCATGCAATTCAATTTCGCGTCGCTGGAATTTCTAGGTGTTTCTTTTCCTTTGATTTCAATGTTTAAATTCAATTCTCTTTGTTTTGTGTGTATGAGGAACTAAACTCCCCCTTGGCTAGGGGGGGATTCGAAATACATGTTTATGCTTGCGATATGATTTGATTACTTCTAATTGCGTTTCATAAGTTGTGAATTCAATTTACTTATCTATGTGAATTACATTGATTTGTGTGTGTTGGTTGAGAGTGCACGCTTAATTATCATGCATAAATTGAATGCTAGGATATAAGGAAATTTTTCACCTAATCGTTATGGGCATATTCACAAGTAGTAAAAGGTTGTTGATGATCTCAATCGCGTTAAGTAAATTCTTGGCATAAGTTTCATGCAATCATAGTAACAAGTGCTTTGTCAATGCTTATGGTTTTCATAGAACTTAATGATTCTTGCTTGTATCTCTATTATGCAATCATGTAGGGGACTTGTGGGGAATGCTTTGGGTTGTCGTATGCAATCATCCATTCAATAACGGTAGGAAAATCTGAAGGTTAATTTAAGCGGACCTAATTAACTTGGGGCGTTGAGAATTCATGGGTTATTGATGAAAAGCAATTGGAAATCGTTTTGAATGCAAGTATAACATGTGTGGAGATGAACCCTTAGCTTTTTAAAGCCAGATTTCCATTAACCATTTTAAATTTTTAAAATCTGTTTTTGACAAGTTTAATTTGTTTTCATTTAAAACCAAATTGTTTGTTTTAAGTGTCAAATTAGTTTTTTAAATTTTGTCAAGTTTTTGTGTTTTGAGTTTTGATTTCAAGTTAAAAACAAAATCTATTTTCAAGTGTCAAATCAGTTTGTGTAAAAAGTTGAGTTTTAAGTTTTTAAAACCTATTTTCGTCAAAATCTTGTTTAGAGTTCAAAACTGCCCAGAAAGTGGTTTTAAGGCAGTTTTGAGTGTTTTTGTGTTATTTTGAGTCTTTTGGTTTGTTTTGGTGTTTTAAGTTATAGTTTTACATTCTTTGAGTCTAGTTAGTGTTTTAAACTTGTTTTTACGTTTTTGAGTCAATTCCAAGTGATTTTGCAATCCCTCCTAATCCCCGGCCTAGAACGATCCCTACTTACGTATTTTGCTACAATTGATAAAAAGATGGTTTAATTTGTGTGCTTATATATTTCGTATCAATTATCTAATGCATGTGTGCTTCTGCGGCAGGAGTTGCAGAATGCTGATCCGACATAGAAAAGAACGGTAGATGTCTGGAGTTTATCTGAAAAGGAAAGGTATAGAACATAGATGCCTAACTCTTATTTGCGCATCATGCATGATAATGTTCTCCACATGCTCATAAATCTCTATCTGTGTGCCTGCCTGTACCCACTGATGTATATTTGAGCCCAAAAGTGTGGATAACAGAAACTGTATCCTGCCTTGATGAATCGTGTCCTCTGTGCTACTTAGATCCCTCAACTTTTTTCTCCACTCCGCACTGCCTAATCTCATGAATGTAGAGGAATTGATGATGAATGTGTTGGGGGAATAAATGTTGATTGCATCCCCTTTGTTGGGATTAGGCCGAATCAGTTCCGAATGCAACCTGCAATAAAAAAAACTAATTAGATAAGTAAAGAAAAATAACAAGAATTAAAAATTGCAATTTTTTTTTCTTTCTGATTTTTGTAATTAGGAATAAAAATAGGAAAATAAATTAAACGAAATAAAAAGAAAAGAGTTGGAAAAATTGGGTTGCCTCCCAATTAGCGCTTTAGTTAATGTGTATAGCTAGACGTAGAGGAATGAATTGATGATCACGTCACTTGTTCCCTTTGAGTTAACCACTCTTTAATAACGTCATAGAGCACTGTGCTTCCAAATTTAATGGTTGAATTCTTCTTATAAAGATATAGGTTCCTTTCCAGCTATGTTTATATCTCCATCGAGCTGACTTAAATTGTGTATTTAACACCCATAGTTTCCGCACTGGCTGAAATTTTCTACGGGGAACTTTGCTGTCAATAAGCTTTCTCTTTTCCATATAGATCTTTGCATGTTTGCAGGACTCGTATGGCATTTCTTTGAATTTGATGGGCTTTGCAGGTGCACTGTCCTTTACCGCCGCTAAAATTTTCTTATCAGTAAGCAGCTGTCCTGTAATTAGATTTGTCAGAGTATTCATGCATTCTTGCTGCTTAGCGGGTTGCCTTGGAGTCTCGGGAGAATGCATGAGTGGCACACAGACTTTTGTAGGAGCAGATTCTATGGAAATTTCAAGGTCATCAGGGGCTGTTTCCTCCTTTGGGCGTGAATAACAGGCAGATGTCTCCTCGGTTCCTGCACCAACCTCTTGATCATCATAGCTTCTCCCACGGTTTACTGCTTGAATTTGAAATCCTTGATTGGTTATTTCTATGTACAATTCAATTGATTCCAACAATTTAGATAGTTTGTCCTCCACCGAAAGCTCTTGTGGCACATTAAGCCGTTCAAAATACTGCCCAAGATGCCGTTTCAAACTTTGAGTGTAGAACTCTGAATGGGGATTGTTCCAGTTCCATTTTGAATCGTTTCTCATATTTATATACTCCTGGACATAATCTGGAAAATATTCTCTCTCAGGACATTGCAAAATATCATGAGTATTTGAATTACAAAGAGCACAAACTGTAGGCTTAAATCCATAATAACCCTTTTCTGCTAATGACACCCAAAGAGGTGGTCCACCGGGTGTTAGATTGAATTCAGGGGGAACTGCAAATTCCATTGTTGCACTGCTCAAAAAGAAACAAATTGTAACCTACCAAACAAAATCAGCAATTAAATAAAAAGATATATACAAAAATAATTAACTAAGAGTTACTGTAATCTGAGAAAAATAAAATAAAAACGAAAATTAAATATTTTTTTATATGTATAAACAGCAATAACTAACTGAAAATCTGATTAACAGGAATTATTTTAAATAATCCCCGACAACGGCGCCATTTTCTTGATAGGATTTTTACAACTCATGTGAAAGGGTTTAAATCTCCTATTTTACTTGCAAGAATCACAAGGTTATTGTAGTATAAACGGATCTCGCAATGTCGTCTCCACAGGGATTATTAAATAATTCGAACTAATCAGATTCCATTTAATTATTGTAAAGTAGAAATTGAAGTGATTGATTTTATAACCTAATTAAAATAAAAACGAAATTAATGAATTAAAATAAACAATCTGCAATATTAGAGCTAGAGAGAAAAGAAACAGTTTTGAGAGAATAAAATTAAGAAAGCACTAGGGTTCCACCATCACCTAGCAATCCTATGAATTTTTACCAATTACTTATAATCTACACATGCCACTTTGAAGGTTAGATTTTCCTAATTCATATTCTATTTGGAACCTCCAACATAGAACGTAAATCTAACATGCAACCCGTCCGGGCGTTCGGATCAAATCTAAACATGAAAGACTCATTATGCTTTATGAAAATCCTTTGAAAAACCATGCAATCCTTAAGACGTGATATTCATCCTCAGAGAAATTACAATTATTAATCACAAGAAGCCAGCGTCAATTTCAGGGAACCTTCCGACCAAAATTGCATCAAATTACTTTTCTAAAGATCCTAATGGTGATCAGGCATTACGACAATTAGATAGTTTTTATCCCGGTGATTAACAATTCAAAGTATGCATGCAATCGATCATAAGCAATTAAATAAAAATCACATATTCATGCTAAGGCTCAAGGCTTCGCCCTAGCAAAAGAAATTAGTTCCGCATATTCATAATTGAAATCATAGAAAATATATTCAAGAAAATAATTGAAAGCACCTTCAAGTAAAAAGTCTTCAAAACCCTAACAATTCTCTGTCTCCAAAATTGCATAAAAGAAAGCGTCCCTAAAAACTGTAGACGGCCAAGCAATATATTTGCTAAGCCTCCACACAAACCCTAGCAAACTAAAATTAATAAAAACCCTAAATAAAAATAGCAAAATTCGTCCAAAATCTGAACAGCCACGTTTTTGACCCATAAGCTGATCCAAAACTGGCCCAATATAGCTGGATCTAATGTTTGGAATATTCTGAACACTTTTCCAGAAGGCCATGAATCCATCCGAGGTCATCTTGGGCTCCAAAACGCAATTTAAGTCCAAAAACGTCATTTTCCAGCACTGCGCACTGATTCTTTATTTCATCGCCAGAAAATAACCGCTGGGTGGAAAAATCCCAAATTTTGATACAATCAAGCTAAATGACTCACGAACGTCCTCCAACTGGAATTACTCCAAAATTCGTCCATTTGATCCTGTTTTGCTCCAGAGGAAGTCGAAAGTCCTATATTAAAAATATAATTCAAAGTATCAAAATTCTTCCAATATATTAACCAAAATATACTAAGATTAGGGTAAAATATATAATATAAAATCTACTCATCACTTACTATATGCTTGATACTAATATGATGTTAAGTTTTCATTTTTTATTGTACTACTACGGTGTTATTGGAGCTCTGCCCCATTTTCTACTAAGGTGCTATATCGTCCAAGGTTTAAGGTCGCAATTGATGCTCTTCAGTAAGACACCTCTTGCTTGATGACAAATGTTTACATTTCTGATATTGCTAATATTAAACGAGAAATATATAATTGCACTTGTAATATAATCTTTTTAAATGTTTGAGTTTGCATATGTGGGGTTATTGAACTTTTGAAGGTAATTTGATCTAAAGCTAGGAATGCTCATTTTCTTGTGTTGTGTGGAAATAAAGACTCTAATTTTAGGAGTTAGACTCTGAAAAGCTTCTAGTATATTTTTTACGATCTCTATCATTATTTCAATCTAGTGGAATGATATTTAGCATACTTGAGAGCTTCTAATCATTATTTCAATCTAACTGTTTACGAATACTATGACTACCTCAATAAATTCATGGCTAGTCGATGCAGGGAATAATTCAAGTTTGAGTTACATGAGAGTTTGGGTCGCCTGAGGAGCCATTAGCCAATCCTGCTGCAGAGATGGACAAGAGACCAGGACAATGGGAGCTTTTGTGTGAACAGTCAGTCCACGACTTTTGATATTTTTTATTTGGTTCATGTGCAACATTCCTTCAATTGTTTTATGATTTCACTAACGATGCTTTTGTATGGCACTCTGGATGTACATTCAACATTTATCAATTAGTAAAATATTATTTCTTAACAATTGTCTATTATATTTTGATATGCATATGTAAGAGTTGAGCATTAAAGCTTTTTTTTTATATACATTAAATGTCTTCTTGACAAAACCAATTTGTCGGCAAAGACAAAGTTGAGCCAACGAAATATCCATGGCGGCAAACACATTTTGTAGGCTAAAAGTATTATTCGTCGGCTAAAAAGGCCTGTACGGATAAAAATATTTGTCGGAAAAGATGGAAATGCCGACAAAAAAGATTTTGACGGGAAAAGTTGAATCTTAGCCTACGAAATACCAAAATTCATCGGCAAAACTGTTAGGTGACATGCTTTGTGCGACAAAATTGTCGACAAATTTTTTCCTCGGGAAAGACACTTTTCCGACAAATTTTGACTTTTGCCGACAAACTACTTTTGTCAGTAAAGTCAAATTTTCTAGTAGTGAGGTAACAGGACAAAATTCTTTGACGATTATAAACGTATCATGACGATTTAACAGTCTTTAGCTTCGATTTTGATGATTCTTTACAACTATATTCCTGAACCCTAGAAGAATACAATGAATGAATACGATCATCAATTTTAAACTATTTACACTAGTGGTTACTACAAAATCTTACGTTTTACTTCATAGAAGTATAGAATACGCAATTCTTGTTTTGACGGAACATGCAGTCTACGAAACTAATTTCAACAATTCAGCTGTCAAACTTGTTTGAATATAGCATGAGATTGCATATGCCAAAATTCACTAAAAACAAACTTTCAGGGATTAGGTAACGAGATGAATGGTTCGATGATCACAAACATATCATCACAGTTTAATGCCTATATCACCTTTGATTTTGATGATTTTTTGCAAGAACACTAACTGAGGCTAAAACCACACATTGAATTGACCTAACCATCAAATTGGATGATCTTTTAACCGTTTGAATAAATAAACAAAGTAGGGAAAATTGAATTTTTGGTGTTTGCCTGACGAACTTTACCACAGTCGTTGGGCAAGCTTATGTAATTTTGTCAGGCAAGAATACTAAATTTGTTGGGCAAACTTTAGTTTCGATCAATTTTTTCCTAAAAAAAATTAAAATTTTCTCTAGATTAAAGGGTTTGCCTGACGAAATATTGTAAATTTCGTTGGCCAAAGGTCAAAATAAATTTATTAGGTCAAAATACACATGTCACAATTTCAAAACTTTTCCCCGACTAATGGATTTGTTGGCCAAAGGTCTGATATTTCATATCAGGCCGAGAGCATTGTTCTTCTTCTTCCTTGCACCGTTGCTGATCTCTTTCCGTGTGCTGTCTCTCTACCCTCTCGTCCACTCACCCTCTCGCTCACTCTCCTTTCTCTAACCTGTTGAAATTCCCAAATAACCAAAGACATATTTGCTTATCGCTTTGATTTATACCAATTGCATGAGTAAAAGCTTCGGTTTTGATGTAGGAAATTTGTGAAATTTGTTGGAAATATAAGAAATTTGTAATTTTGTAGGCAATATTAGAAATTTATAATTTGTAGGAAATTTTAGGAATTTAGAAAATATTTGAAATTATAGGAAATATTAGAAATTTGTAGGGAATATTAGAAATATTTGAAATTTGTAGGGAATATTAGAAATTTGTAATTTTGTTGGAAAGAGTAGAAACTTGTGATTTGTTTTATGAATTTTATGCAAAAATGTCCTTTAGTAATGTAATTTTTGTATGAACGTTGAAATAATGTAATTTTGTAAATTATGTCAGCTTTATTGTGATTTTTTTTCCACATATTTCATAGCGGTTGACCACCAGTGGCTGTTGATCTGCCTCTGATTTGGGTCAGAACTACCCAGCAGCAGAGATGATAGATATTGAACTAGCGAAGACCAGCGGTACTTAGGTGACCATTGCTGAGTCAACGTGTCACAGCCCTCCCAAATTATTTTATTGATGGCGTGAAATGACTAAATTGCCCTTGGACGTCGAGTACGTTATGTGGTGTTGTGGCTTGAGTTTGGGTTTTAAACTAATTTAGTTAGTTCCTAAGTTTTTGGAACTTAAAGTTAGTGGGGTTAGTTGTTGTTAGTAACCTAAATCTAGACCACACACAGTCTCACCCATACCCAACTCCCATTAACCTTTCTCTGTCCTCTCTCTCTCGAGTTTCCTCCATTGTTCGTGCAATACGTACAGACAAACCTCAAACCAAACAATTTCTTCACGAATCAAGGTTTTGGAGACCATATTCGTGTTCCTGGTGAGCTCAGGAACTCATCCATACCCTTAGTTGAACATGGATCCTTTGAAAACCTGAGAACCTAGGAACCCCGATCGTGGGTATTGTTCATGCAAACGTAATCATGAAGTTTTTTAAGGAGTTTTAAGGTTATAGGGAGCCTTAAAACATCTTCATGAAGCTCTGGGAGTAATTTTGAAGTAATTTAGATGTCGGGAAGCCCAGGTTTAGCGATTTGCAAGTTTGGCCGGAATATCGAAGGTTTTTTAGGCAACTTTCCATTGGTTTTAGGTCCCCAAAGTGGTATGAATATGTTCTTCTCATCTTAAGCTTCAATTTGGTTTACATTTCGTGCGTTTTGGTGGAAAACTGTGCAAGATATTGAAGTT